AAACATGCGCGACACGTCACTAATTGACTCGGCTAAAGCTGGAATTTCATATCAAAGGGAATTAATTATTGTGCGAAAACGCATTATTAAGGAGTTGGCTTAACTTTTCGTATTTAATTACCTACCCAAATTAATTCTAATTAGAAGTCAATAAAAGCTTTTAAAATTATTTTAAGTACATAAATATTTTATCTCCATTTGTTAGTCATTCATTGCTAAGGACGACAACCAAACTAGGCACAACTACCATTCCAAAATTTAATGAAGCGTTATACCATTGTCTTCTCCCGGCCACAAGTAATTAATGACATTATAATTAAGCTCACGAAGACTGATTAGGACAAAAACTAATTAGGAAATAGGAATGCTTGTTCGGTCACGTACGCTATTTGTGTGGACGTTGATACGCAATCTTGGAAACAATATATTACATAATAACATTGTTCTTTCAAGCTCGGGAATTTCGTGGAAACTTTACGTAAGATGATAACTTTTCCAAACATCGGCAGTTAAATGAAAATTATTCAAGTAAAGTTAAATTGGAATAGTTTATGTTTACGCAGCCTGTTTCATGAGAAATGCTGTTATGAAAGAATAAACAATGCTTTGGATTAATATCTTGCTTTTATTGGAAATTAACTTCTATTAATAACTGAAGTTTTAAAGGTTTAAAGATAAAATATCTTTTGTGATTAATTTGTAAGATATAATTTATTGATCCTTCAACGACATTAGGAGTTTGCCTATTAGAAGGTCAGCTTTATTACATTGCAACATTTGACGCTAATTTGCAGCAACAAACAAAACCAACCTAATCCTATTAAATTAATAATTATGTTTTATGGAAGACATTGAATAATATATGACCACCAGAAGGAAAAGAATAAAACATCATTAGTACTTACCTACTTATTTCAGCTAAAATTCTCAACATTGAATTAAAGGTTTCTTGAGGTTTGTTTTACCTTGTTATAGCTATAATATACACAACAGTATGTAATGGGAATGTAAAGGATAAAAGGCTCGAGTTGCAGAAACCTATCAAATGAAAAATCGCGTAAATATTTTATGGAAAACTCTTTTCGTTGGCATTACGAGGCTTCGTCGTCCTCGTGACTTATTTTAGATCGAATTCGGACAAATAAGGGTATTTAGTACAGTCGTCAACAGTTGGAAAACAGCAGTTATTATAACAACATAAGATACACAGTGCTAGCTTGATTCACCTTCATCCATATAAGCTGCAAGAACACTCAAATGTTCTTACGCCCATATTTTCAAACAAGGCTTGCTTAAGTGAAGCAGCGAATCGAACGCACAGCGTTGAATAGAGCTCTATGATTGGTTCGTGTGTCACCCTGTGCGTCCACGCCCACTGTGAGACCTCATAGTAATGTTTGTGAATACGGGCGTTATTGCATAACACAGTAAAAAGCCACTTTTTTGGTAGTGGTGACTGTATGTGCTTTCTTTATGTCACTTATCTGTTTTATTCATAACCTTTTTAAAATAAATCTTTATCTTAAGGTGATGCTTGAAAACATTTTAGTGTCAATAAAAGTTTATAAACTGAATTTATTATTTCTAGAGATCACCCACTTCTTTTCAATTCTAAAAACAACTCCTTGAAAAGTTGCTGAATGTTTTTAACTTGATTAAATCTACATTATTTTCCTCTATTTCAATTTATCTATAAACTCCTTGCTAGGAAAAACAATCATGTTTGAAACTCTATAAATCGAAAATTAGGGTACACATACCTGAAACAAGACCTTGTAATTGTTTTGTATAAACTGTACTAATTCTAAATAATTTGACCTAAATTGTTCTCTCTTTCGAATTTAGGGCACTCTAGTGTCAAGGACTACTTTCATGAGAATATTTTCAATAAAAATTCTGCTCTACCCACATACTTTTACTACTAGAATTTTAGGTAGGTAACTACAATTTTATCTACATTTCTAAAGCAAAAATGGAGGTCGGAGCTTGAGCCAACCGAGTTGATAGTCCGTACTCTACATACGAGTACAACCACTGTGCAGTTATCATTTGTACCATTGTGTTAGCTCATAACTGGTTTAAGTACCTAAACTAAATACCTATTGAATGTCATTCCCATTTAAAAACTGAAAGCTAATCTTCAACCCTAACAAAATATTACCTAAGAGTATTAAAAATAATGATGTTGTAAAGTTTGTTTGACACGTGTTTTTAAACAAAGCTCAAAAGCTTTGTGGCAAAGCTAAACAAGTTCCAACAGTCCACCGCTCAGTAATATTTCCGTTTCGCACAAAATCCGGGAAACCTGAAATACTAGTTTCTGGGTTTAAACTGGTTCCCTTTGTGCGCCTATTGATGGAGAGTTCGCAATGTATTGGAATATCGAGAGAATGGGAAGCTCGCAGGGTTGTCAATGTTTTACTCTGTACTCTTGATAGGCCGCCTTGGGGTCAGCTTTCGACCAAGTTCAACAAGCTGTAAATAGTGTGTTTCTCTTTATTGTTAGCGATACCGCTTGAAGACAATAAATAGAGCGTTTTGATTCCACGTTTCTGATTTAACCTTTACATAGCAATACATACATTATTCATTATTGCAGTAATAAAGTGCTTTTTTGGAAACTCATAAAACTTTAGTATTTGAGTTAGGTAATCATTAATACGCAATGGTCTTTAGTATTAAAGCATCCATGCTGTTTCCTGCCAAAAGGGAATCCTTGGAAATGCATTATTATATCAACAATGGCTGTGTGCCAACCCTAACCCTTGGTGGCGAGAGATCACACAAAATATTATAATTGCTCGGGGTCAGACTGGTAAAACTTGATTTTTCTTTCAAAGTCTCTTTTTAAAGAGTTAAATAATATGAGAGTGGAAGTATAGTTAACGAGTAAAAAAGTTTTTTATGTAAAATCAGACATAAAACGAGGCAAAAACATGCTAAGCTTTTTACACTTGGCTTAATTTTAGTCAAATTTTAGATGCAAGCAATCTCCATCTAATAAGGATTTATTTCTATCGAGTCGTCATTTCATCGTGCTATTTTATTAAAAAAACTGAACCCTAATAAAGACTTCAATATCATATTATTATCTACAAATCTGAAACTATTTCATAGCTTCCATGTCATTTACCGCGTATTTGTGTAGGTAGGTTATACATATAAATAATTTATTTAGCTATGTATTTACCGAGGCTATATACCGAATACAGAATTCCACGAAATATTTTTGTGTATAAATGGTTAGTCGCTAGCTTTTTCTGCTATATTGAATAGGCCAATATTGACAAGTACCAGAACTTTACGATTGAGACTTTTGTATTAATGAGGTCGCTTGTGTGCTATAATGAAGGTAAGTTGTGTTTTATCAATATTGTAGCAATATTTCTAGTTTGATTATGTGATCACAAATTGATAGATTGGTAATTGGTTGGTAGGTATTATGTCGAGAAATCTTTTTCGTTCATTCATTACTGATGTACTTGTACCCTTCATTAATTCTGAACTCACACAATAGAAGATTGGATTTTTTCATATTAATTTGAATAAAAAAGTAGACCTACTGGTTTGGTTTTTAAGATCATTTTTCTAATTATATAGGATTTGTGATACTTTTCCCAGAATAACTTAAAGGAACAGGAAATTCCGCGATCACTGGCATGTTTCACTTAATTATGGTAAATGATGGAAAATTCATTAGACAGGAAAAACCTGCGTCACTGCTTTCTCGATTATAAATAAAACGATAAATATTATTTACATACGTTAATTATATTTAATGAATACTCATCGGATTTTCCAGCTCAGTAGACTTATGGTTGATGGGCGATTAATAAAAGAACAATGATTAAAATATCCAACTTTTAATGATCATTCAATATGAATAAATACATTTAAAGATTTATTATCACTAATAACTTATGCTAAAGATCTTAATGATAAATTAAACTCGGATTTGTTATATTTTTACTCTAAACTTTTTGTCTAAAAATCTATTAGATTGTCCAAATTTTCTGAAATTTTTTTAGCTGTATGTTACAATATAGAATATTATTATTATCTTTGGTAACAATGCTAGAACATTAGGATAAACATGTGAACTCAATCGTTGTGTGGCAACAAATCGGTGTGTACTATTTACATTAACACAATAATATAAATTTGTATACAGTCGGTCTCAAAAAAATGAAAACATTCTTCTGCGTAAAATAACTCCGCCCACTTGTTTTGTTTTCTCTAGCGTCTTTGGTAGGCCTTATTCGGAATTTTCCATTAGCAATTTAAGCCAACAAATTGGTTTAAACACACGTACAAAAGTTAACCGTCCAGAATTAGAAAAATCACGAACGAATACGTACAACATTTTGACATTAAACGACTGCGTTTTAGATTAAGTATTAACTATTTTCTTACCACATATTTTTGAGCCCGACTCTATACATTTGAACTTACATGCTAATAAAATTAATTTTCTTGAGATCAACAGACATAAACATCTAATATCTAACCATACATAAATACTCTTATCACATAGGCTTTGGTACATATGCCTGTAAAGTACACGATGTAACATTCGGCATAGATTTAGTTTCGATAGGTAATCCTTTATTCTGTACAAAGCGGATGTAGCGAAGCGCTTTCGAATGTTACAATACATATTAGAGATCTGAAATTACTAACACGTAGGATCAGGTTTCAGTTGAAATATCAGTTTTGGCAAATATTTTTGGTACTTATTGAAATAACTCACAATAGTAAAACAAAATTTCAAATAATGTCTCGTAATCTTGTATATTTAGATATTTGTATTCTCATAACGCAACAATATTATAAATTATTATTATGTTAAGAAAATGTGTCGAACTAAGTATTCAGACAGCGTTCGACACAAATAAATTCAAAGTCAAAATGCTTCAAGTGACTTTGGTGAACATTTACTAGGTACTTTCAAGCATTCAAAGCTTGATAATAATTTTCAAAACGTGCTGTGTATTACAAAAAATATACAATAATATTAAATTGGCTCTTGTTTTTCTGTTTTTCTGAAACCATATTACTAAGTCTCTCACTCTCGCTCATCAAAAGTTTAATTGTAAAACAAGTAGGTAAACCAATAAATATTAGAACTAAAACAAATATTAATTTTCCCAACATACTAGATAGAAACCACCCGAAAGCCCAAACAAATTATGAAGTATGAATAGTTTTGAACTTTGATAATAATCAATGTTGAAAACAGGGAAAACCCTGATTGTTTAGTTCTAAGTACTTAATTTATAGTTTCAACAAGCGAGAAATTGTTTGCAATTTTTGGTGTTTTCACTCTTCTAACACACAATAAAGTTTCTATCGAAGAACTTAAAACAAAGAGTACCTACTTAGAAACACCTATCATAACCCTGATCCAGGTTAACATTCACAAGATCTCCCAGCCAGTCAATCCGTAAGTAGAAGAAAAGGGAAAATTCTTCACATCATACCTAGATAGATTCTAAACGCGTACTTTCCTCGCTCTCAATTCATAACGTACTAACGAGCTCGATGCTTTCGTTGATCATGTTCTGCGTCCTCTCGTCCTCGGGCTCATCATCATCAGCCTCGTAGTCCAACAGCGTGTATTCTGTCCTGATGCTGCTGCTGTCCTCACTGTCATTAACGTTGAAATACGTAACTGTGGCGTAGCAGACTGGCGCTCGGTGATTTGATGGGCTGCTTCTAGCCGAGTCATATGCTGAATCAGATCTAGCGCCATCGAAGTTGGAGTCTTCGGATTCGTTGCGAGAACTGTAGCTGTTGTAGCTGCTATAATAAGATGTGTTCTCGAAGGACTCCTGGGCTAAGCTGAGAGGGGGCAGCGAGGCGCGGCAAGCGCAGAAACGCTGCAGGTCGATCTCGGAGCGAGCGTCGACGGTCCCGCTGTAGGAAGGGGACCGCACTAGGGCTGGTGACACCCGGTTACGAGTGCCCTTGCGGGATCTGCTCCTCTTGAAGAGTTTGAAGGCCTGGAACAAAGAAAATACACGTGAGAATATTGATAAGTTTAGTGCTCAGTTTAGTTCGAACTTTGGAATTATTTGTTAGTGTTATAGCCGAGCAGACCAAAACACAAACAACTGATAGACAAGTCTCGTCCGTGGTTTTGCTCCGGACTATAAAGGGCTAAATCCACTAATGGCAAATATTTGTTTTCAAGAGCTCAAACATTTGCACGTGAAATTGGTTGTCTAGTCTACTGGTATAAGGTCTTTGTTACTGGTGTTTAATTGAATTAAGTGACACCATGAAGCCATAAGAAACGAGAGCAAATTGATAAGAATGTCGCACGGTGGTGTAATAGCCGTATGTGTCAAATTGGGCCAGAGGCCTTGCGTAACCGATTAGGGCCAATAAGGCCAATAAACGGCCCAGCGTCTGTAGGTCACGGCCTCGCTGGTGTTAGCGGCTGCGGAGGACTGTTGTTTCAGAGAAATAAATAAAACAAACTTTGTGGAGGTCACACGTTAAAATGGAGGTTTTCTTGACATACTACCATGACATCACGATACCTTTTGTAAATATCTAAACTAAATTATTCTAATGCTATTCAGTTCTTTGACGATTATGCCTTGCCTATTATAAATATGAAAACCTGTTCGTAAATCAAAATAAATATTTTGGCCTGCCGAAAATATGTCGTACGATTTGATAAAAAAATGAAAATAAAAATGGAAATATATTTATTCAGTATCTTTAAAGTTTACATATTGTTGCAAGTGGCTGGGGTCTCCTTTTAATACCTGTGTTAGGAAGCCCCGCTCTTAAAGTTACAAAGATACATTTGTTAAACAAACCACAAAAACTCACAAGTACGTATTACTAGTACTAGAATAACGCTAGTTCATCAAAGAACTTCGCAGAAGCCAATTGGATATTAATAATTGTGGGGTTACAAGATCTTTTACCCGCCTATCAGTTTAACGACTCAGTCCAATCGCGCTGCGCTTGCGCCTGCAAGTGACACGCTTAAGGGCCGAGCACAGCGGGTGGCGAGATGCATCACTTAAATAGGGTAATAGCATTGATACGCGATTCACAGCTGTCACAGTGTGCAATGAATGATACCAACTTAGAACTGTGGTGGAATAACATGGACATTATTAGAGAAAATTGTAGGAATCCAAAGACTACAGGCATAAGATGTAAAGTCACACCCATTTCTATACGAATGGTGCAGATTTCTATCCAAATTAGAAACATTCTGGGAGGTAGGTGACACAATTAACCAATTACCTTTGGGCACAACTTTCATTGTATCCCTGAAACTCAATTTCTTATCAATATCAATTAATGATAAAATTGGATTTTTGGTAGATTGCAGTAGGGACGAGTGAATCACGTTTTGACAACTCACAAAAAATGTGCGTATCGATCGTTATGCTAACTACCCTACTCCTGGCAATTATTGTTTTTCCCAGGATATATGAGTATTGTTATTGTGCTTAACAGCGAGATAGCGGGTATCGGGGGTATCGCTGTGACACCGTTGCGAGTATTTATTACCGATATCTGTGACAACGAGTATTTCATTTGAGACAGTCTGTCTGGTACTTACCTACTTGATAAATCAATTGAACTATGCTATAGTACCTACTATTAAATTACCTACATAAATTTTAAAATTAACACAAATATTTATTGAGGCTTTTGTCCAACAGTTACGCTTACGATACGATCATTTATTTGTTGGTTGTTGGTATTTAATCTGAAAAAATAATAGATATTATATTTTTTCGAAGATGATGAATAAAACGATTACTAAAGAAATATTCACAATCTTAAGTATTTTTTTAAATGATTGTGTTATAATAGGGCATAGAACCATTGACTACTTAGAATAAATATAGTTTAAGCCACCCACAGAAATTCGTAGAAGATTGCAATTGAGAATGTTACTAGGTATGCAAAATCACTTGAAACCTATGTTACAGTTAAGCTTTTACATTTACAAATACATTAGTTTTTATTTCATTCAAAAATACCCAGTAGTTATGATTTTATAGGCATTCAAAGTTCGCTTAAATATTGAATCCCGCCGATGGTCACGTGACCCCGCGTGACGTACATTCACAGCGTCCGCTCACTAGAAAACGGATATAAACATACTTAAATATTTTTTTTTTTGTAAATACAAACTTATTATACATATTAACACCCAGACCCATCACAGAAATTAAAATTGAACCAAACCCAAACTTGATGCGATTGTGTCGTTTTATTGCGAATTACCTTCCAGCTCCATCATTAGACCCCGATTACTATATAGAATTAAAATACTCATCAATACAAAACGAACGAGCCCAAACTCGATGCATTTAAGTCGTTTTATTATAGAGTTCCTATGGCCACCTTCCAGCTCCATCATCAGATCAGCTCCATGTCATCATAATATTGCATGGTCATCCAAATCACATGTGTTTGCGAAATTTCAGCTTAATCGGTTGCCTGGAAGTGGGTCTTAATTCAGTTTGCAAGATTCCACCCATACAAATATGAGCCAGTCGTTGTAATATGACGTCACGCGCATAAAATGGCGGGCCGGCCGCCGCCCGCACTTTTAAAATTCAATATCTTGGAAACTAATTGACGTATCGAAATAATTCTTTCACGTGTATTTTTTATTTTTAACAGAGAATACAGAAAGCTAAAAAACAAAATTAGTGAACATTCTTCATTATAAAATTCAGACATAGGCCGGGTTTAATTACTACACGTTGTTTTTACTTTCTGTTAAGCACAATACACCTATATCCGTTTCAAAATACACACTATTTACATACAAACACAGATAAAGAAATTTTTATAGCGTTGTTATGTATATGGAAAGCATGTTGTGGGCTCGTGATATAATAAAATTTTAAACAATATTATTATTGTCATTTATTTATAGAGTGAGATAAGTAAAGTATTACATAAAAATCTTGAATATAAAAATATCAATATTGATTACCGAATGTCTCCGATAGCTTTGCGCTTTAAAACTTTTTATAAAATCTAATTAAAAAAATAATTAGCTTGCTCTCCATGTCAGTGATCTAAAAAGTCAAATAATTTATTTGAAATGAATAGGTAGAATAGTTTAAAAATCAACTACTGTAAGAATAAACTAGATAAATGACCCTCCTTCTGGCGCAATCAGGTAAAAAGTACATAGTGTACTTTTTCGGAGCTTGTTACTTGACTACCTAGGTATAATGACAGTGGATTTATTACTAGATGCATGGCACCTTGCTCACTTAGATATTAATTAGGCTAACTGTGCCTATAATAATATCTTGCTCTACAAACTTAAACTGGGCCCTTTATGAATTTGATACGTGGCCTGCGTATGGCAGAGCCACTCGCAGTAAAGATGATCTAAGGCCGGTGACCGGCATCAAGATATCCCTATAAAAGCTTTATTTATTGCGGGTAAAGGTCTCTATACAGGGTGGAAACGATAAGTGACTTATCGTTTCCACCCTGTATATTATTTACCGATTGCTATAACAGTAAGCAATTTGGTTGGGAATGTTGGGATAACCTACCCTTACCACGTTATTGATATCTATTAGATATACAGGGTGTCCAAAAAAGATGTGTCAAGCCGAAGCCCAGAGGTAGAGTATCACTAAGGCATTTCTTTTTCCGTTGAAGTGCTATCGGTTTGCTCTTACTATCGGAGCTAGTGGGTTACTCCGAGAGCAAGGCAGTGTTTACTAGGGCATTTTGTGACACCCTGTATGTTAATATAGCTTAGTCAGAAAATTATGTTTAATGTTAACATTACATCGGCACTAAAGTCAGAGCGTAGGCGGCAGGTACCCACATTTTAGCAGCTGTTCATGCAGGTACTTATCTATTAAATGCTTACAACGCTACCTGGTTTGAAACTAGCGTAAGTAGTTTAACTTTACCCTAGAGACTTGAGAAGATGTGAGTCAGTTTGAGCTCTAATTTAACTTTAAATCCGTAGCATATTTATACAGGGTCTATCTAAACAATAAGTAATTTATTTAAATTACTCGTTTCGCAAAAGTATTGACAAAACTGGTAGGGTAAAAAGATTATGAGACATGTAGAGGCTCCTTAAGAGCAAAATGACGATTTGTAAGAACTATTTATTAGTCTAAACAAATAAAGAAATTTTGACTTTGACTTTGAAAACACAGATTTAAAAACTGTTGATAATACAAAAAAGAATTGATTACTATTTTCCTTTTTTTTTTCACACAGTTTATAGGGTTGTGTCTTTTGTGCCTTTTTGTTTCTATTTTGTGCAACGTAAATTAATACAAATATTAAATGTACGCTACTAGTAGGTTAGAGTTTAAGCACTATTAATTTTGTTTACTTGTATTTTGTTATTGTAAGTGTCTTTAACCTGTATGTGTATTGAACAAAACAAAATATTTTTAAAGAGAATCAGCTTTTAAAAATATCACTATGTAAGTGAATGGTCTCAGTGACTTTTAACCTTTCTTACAATCCGCAAAAAAAGATACCTAGGTAGAACATAAATGTCGCAAATCAAATTGTGCCCTACCAAAACACTACTGATAATCGCCCGTGTTTACTACGCCTCAAACAAACAAGGAACTTTGCGTTGACAATGACATGCCTTTGTTTACCCCAAAGGTCGTCACACTCGTACTAACGGCGAACACATGGCAAGTGCATATCATTTACGGTGACAGCCGTGGGAAACCACCAGCCCGCACCTGTGCGATACACCCGATAACACGGACGCTGCGTGTAACGGAACGACGTTAACTTGTGTCAACCGCCAAAAGTGTACAATCGTGCCAACTGCTAAAAGTGTTTGGCTGAGTTCCAACACCTTATTTTAATGTTAACTATAACCCTTACAGGTGTTTTGGTACGGAGTTTAACAGAATTCTGAAGATTGTTAAAATTAAATTAAGATGGTGCAACCCAGCCTTACAATTCTGCCAAAAAAATAATGCTTTTTTGCACTGGTAATTAA